GCGCAGCTCCTACCTGGAGGACCAGGAGGCCGTGGGTGGGCATCTGTGTGGGGGCGGCTGAATCTCGGGGCTCCGGCGCAGCGGGCACCGCTGGAGACGCGGGACGAGGAAGGAGGAAGGGCCTGCACTGGGACCTGGTTCCGCGGCCGCCCGGAACTCACCACCCGGATTCGCCCGGGCAGGGGTGGGGCGAGGCGGTTCTCAGTCCGGGTGCCTCGTAGTGCAGGCTGTCACCCCCACGGAGCTGACAGGCTCAGGTCACCCGGCCTCTGACCCGGTCCTGGTTTTCTAGTCTCTCTTTTCCCAACCTTTCATTAAGTCAACAGCATCAATCTAGGGGATGCTAATTAGCTTTAGTATCATTAAGTTCAGGTACTCTTGAGCCTCCATGCGCCAAGACACTGTTCTACTTTGCTTTTATTATCAAATTCTCATCTATTGCAGCTAGTAGGTACCGTTAGCCCATTTTACATGTAGGGACACAGCTGATCACAAAGGTGAAATGACTTGCCTGAGGTGACAATTTTAAAGGAGGGGCTTTACTTGTAAACCTTCTTCCAACGCCTAGAGTAGACGTTATGGCTGATTTACAGATAAGGAAACCAGAAAAGTGAAGCAAGCAGCCTAAGGTCACCCAATTTACAATGCAGGAGACTGGACTTTGTGTCTTGGTGTCTTTTAAAGCTCCAGCTAGGTATAATTTAGAAATCTTAGCATAAAATCACAAATCGAGAGTAAAACATGGAAAATCCCCGTTGCACCCACGGAACAGCCCAAATATAGCAAGTTTGATGTTTTTAGTCTGCTTAAAATAAAGTCTTAAGAAAAAGAGAACCAGTTGTCATGTGGCTGGACTAGCAGCCCTTTTGGAACATAGTTTTGAACAGAGGCCAGCTCTAGCCTCATTACACAATAATGCCTTTCGCCAAAGCCAGAGGAAGCAATCGTGTCCACATGCACCAAATGGTTAATAACCATGGCCACTTTAAAGCACTTACTGGATATTGCACAGCCAAGACCGGCCAAGTTACATAATGTCTTACTCCACACATGGAACTGCATGAAATGAAAAATACAATATCCCAGTCCAAAGTGGGGGTGGGTGGGTGACCTTATAGTCTGGAACTCTGTTTTCCTGTAACCTATAGTTGCTCAGTCCTACATTTTTCTCTCTTGAGCACATCTTTTCCTAATGATAGAAGAGTCACACAGCCGTCACTCTTTCCTTGTTGACAGACATGATTGATGTCTTTTAAATCCGATGATACTGACAGATTTTTACAATTAAACACAAGGCCCCCTGAGCATAGAGAGGATTGCCTAAGAGAAGTTTGGCAAGTGTAAGACAAGCATGTTACTGAAAGGCTGAATCCCCTTGCCTCCCCTTCTTTCTCAAGTTTTATTAATCACAGATGATTTGGTATTATACACACAAATAACTGCACTCTTACAAGCTTGTCTTCAGAATTATAGTGCTTTTGATTGAGAAGCAGCAGGCTATAAAATTGCATCCCAAATTCCTAAGTGACATAAAAAAAAATACCATTTGGCACTAACCTACAACAATAGGTCTTTTAACTATAAGTAGAAATATAATTATGTAAGTGCCCTCATAATGATTGAATTTCTGCTTTCTTTGAGCTAGAGAAATAAAATAGGAAAAGGTCATGTGTTGCTTAGAGATAAACTTAAGTGATGGACTGCCACAGATAAATTTTAGATAGACTATGTAATTATTTCTATTCCTCTGAGAGATTTACTGATTGTTGGCTGTTGTAATTTTTCCAAATCTTGCACATCTTCTGAGATTTTGTCAATGTAAGAACATCCAAATCTGTAGAGAATTTTGATAAATGTGTATTGGAGCCAAAAGGAGGATATGCCTGGAAGCAAGATCTCAACAAACTGAGAAAATGCTTCAGAGTATGGCATTTTGTGACTTCTTTTATCTATTTGGAATTAAGGATAATTTAAGGAAGATTACATGCATGAAGGTGGGGGGAAGCAACTATAAGTATTTGCTCATTTATAAGTCATAAGGTCCACTATATTGCAGGCACTCTTTTGGTAGCTGAAGATACTGCATGAACGAAACAGATGAATGCTGTGCTTTTCTGTAGAAGGACAGACCGAGATATGTCAGAATATGATGGGTACTATGAAGAAATATGAACCAGAGTAAAGAAAAGACCGGGACTTCTGGGGTGGGTTTGCTCATTTATAAGTCATAAGGTCCACTATATTGCAGGCACTCTTTTGGTAGCTGAAGATACTGCATGAACGAAACAGATGAATGCTGTGCTTTTCTGTAGAAGGACAGACCTGAGATATGTCAGCATATGATGGGTACTATGAAGAAGTATGAACCAGAGTAAAGAAAAGACCTGGACTTCTGGGTGGGATGGAAGGAGATTGACAGAGATGGCTTCTCTGAAAAGGTGACATTGGAGCAGAAGAAAAGGAACAAGCTTTGCAAATACTAGTAAATGTCTGGGGAAAGAGCATCCAGGCAGAGGGACTAGGAAGTATAAAGGCCGTGAGATAGAAATGTGTTTGGTGTTTTCAAGGGAGAGTAAGGAGGCAAAGGTGAATAGAGGAGTGAGCAAGGAGCAAAGTGATAGAAATGAGTCCGAGGGTGGCATGGAACAAGTTCCTAAGAAAAAAGAGTTTGAATTTAACATTTATTGATGTGAAAAGCTTTGGGCCAAAGACTGACATAATCTGACTTTGTTTTAGAAAGACCATACTAACTGCTATCTATATATATAAAAGCCTAAATGACTATTACGACCCATCGACTGAATGACCAGTTGACTGGTCTGTATGATGTGCACTAATCACCAGGGGGCAGACGCTTAACACAGGAGCTGCCCCCTGGTGGTCAGTGCACTCCCACAGCCAACCTCCTGCAGCTGGCCAACCTCCCACGGTCCCTCCCACCAGCCAGCTGGCCCCAATCGGCCCCAATTGGGACTGGGCGAGACAGCCCTAATCGGCCGAGTCGCAAGCCAGGCCAAGGGATCTCACCTGTGCACGAATTTGTGCACCAGGCCTCTAGTATGGAGAATAAATTGCATGGGGGTGAGGGTAGAAGCATGAAGACAAAGCCACAGCCCAAGTAAGGATGGACTTGAGTGATAGTCATGTAGGTGTTGCAAGTGGTCGGAATCTGCATCTTGATATAAATAAAAGGAAACCAATATTAAGGAAAACTAAGGAAGGAGAACTAAATACTCAGGATGAGCCTTACTCAGTAAGGAAATTAGTTATGCTCTGACAATATCAAGTTTATGGAAAGATGAATTAGTGAAGACATTAGTGGGGTCAATCAGCTCCATTACAGCTGCATTTTTTATCTTCAGCTAGGCAAATGCTCTATTTCTTGATGAAATACAAGTTGGAGCTTTTGCAATTTTGCCCTGTTCTACCACCCTTAGACCAATTCCTCTACCATAAATATTCTTATTTCAAAATTAAAGACAAATTTCTTTCCCATCAAGTTTTGACTCAGCCTTCACCTAAATCAGGGGTGGGGAATGTCTGGCCCATGGGCCCATATAAGGCCCATGAAAACAATTGGTCTTGCCCTGCCAAGGCATTAGGGATGAGTTAATTAAATGTTTGGCCAAATATAGCAGGCTAATTTTTAAGTTGATAATTTTGCATGGCTCACCAATGATGTTATAAATATCCAAATGACCCTTGACAGAAAAAAGTTTCCCCACCCCTGATCTACATAAACATACAACCAATTCAACATTTTAATTCATAACTGTAGTGCTGGTTGAAATCATATATTACACCTTTAGTTTCAAAATCATCTAGTTTCAGACTTCATTACACATTATTCTTTGCATTTCTCAAGTAAAATGTTTCTACAAACATTTATTTGAATTTGCACTTTCCTATTTAAGTTTAGATTTAGAAAGTTACGTTTGTTATACCAGCAAATGTTTATACTTAGAACAGAAATGAAAGGACTTGTTATAAAGGTTTCTTTAATGATAGTAAGAATGGCAAAACTTCCCAGGGTGAGAGCCACTTGGATCCCTGCCCATGTGCCTTCTAATCTTTTAGAACCTCCAGAGAGTTCTGGAAGTGTTTCCTTGGCAAACATTTACTAACAGCTAAGGGGTTTGAAAACATTTTCATCTCCCTGCATAATTTTTCATTTTCCAGCAGAAATCTTATCCTATGGACACTATTACTAAATTGTTGCTGGTCTACACTTGTGCAATCTGGCACATTAAAGGTCCACTTTCAAACTCATGCCTTAGGCTATTTGTAAGGCCAGTCAAGACACCCCTACCCTCACACCACAGATATAACAAAAGTAACTCTCAGAAACCTCTCAGCTCTCAGCTTCAGTTGAGCTCAGAGTGGTCCCAGAAGTCAAAAATCCCCTGTAAGGACAAAGTGGAAAATGAAATATATATATATACACATATGTTTTATATCTATATATGTTATATATTATAAAATAAAAATGTTTTACATATAAATATACATGTTTTATATTTATGTTGTATATTATAAAATATAAATATGTTTTACAAGTAATATTTATGTTATGTATTATATATTTATATATAACATATGTAGGTGTCCCCCAAAAATGTATACATGTTCTTTGAATAATTATAAAGGCAGTGTTTATTAAAATTCATTTCATTTTCAAAATTGAGCTATCAGACCTGGCTGGTGTAGCTCAGCTGTTGAGTGTTTACCCATGAACCAAGAGGATGTGGTTTGATTTCTGGTCAGGGCACATGCTGGGATTGCAGGCTTAATCCCCAGTGTGGGGCGTGCAGGAGGCAGCTGATCAGTGTTTCTACCTCTCTATCCTTCTCTCTTCCTCTCTCTCTCTTAAAAAAAAAAAATCAATTAAAACATAAAAAAAAGAAATTTTGAAAAATTGAGCTATCAGATGTTAAAGTGTATATACATTTTGGGGGACACCCTTGATATGCTATATGTTATTTACATATGTGATATATATATACACACACACACACACACACACACACTAGAGGCCTGATGCACAAAATTTGTGCAAGAGTAGGCCTTCCTTCCCCCTGGCTGCCAGCACCAGCTTCCCTCTGGCACCTGGGACCCAGGCTTCCCTCACAGCCCTGGGCCATCTGGTCTAATTACCATATTATGCTTATATTATTATCCTATATAATAAAGAGGTAATATGCAAATTAACCCTCACGCCCTCACAAGAT